AGAGTTACAGAGAGGCAGAGGCAGAGGCAGAGGCAGAGAGAGAGAGAGAAAGAGAGAGAGAGAGAGAGAAAGAGAGAGAGAGAGAGGACTTCCATCCTCTGGTTCAATCCTCAGATGGCTGCAATGGCCAGAGCTGTGCCCATCTGACGCCAGGAGCCAGGAGCTTCTTCTGGGTCTCCCAAGAAGGTGCAGTGGCCCAAGGACTTGGGCCATCTTCCACTGCTTTCCCAGGCCATATCAGAGAGCTATACCTGCTACGCCATAGAGCCGGCCCCTCATATTATGTATATTTAAACTTTATCTGATAATTCCCTTGGAATAAATTCTTGGAAGTGTATTGTCAGGGCCGATGCTGTGGCATAGCAGGTAAAGCCACTGCCTGCAGTGCTGGCATCCCATTTGGGTGCCAGTTTGAGTCCTGGCTACTCCACTTTCCATCCAGCTTTCTGCTATGGCCTGGGAAAGCAGTAAAAGATGGCCTAAGTCCTTGGGCCCCTGTACCATGTAGCAGACCCAGAAGAAGCTCCTGGCTTCTGGCTTTGGATTGGCCAGGATGTGAGACTTCTGCCTCGTTCTCTCTCTGAAACTCTCTGGAACTCTTTCAAATAATATAAATAAATCCTTTTTTTTAAAAGTATATTTTTAGCCTAAGTGCATAATTTCAGATATTTGACACACATTGCAAAATTGCTTTTTCAGTAAGCACTTATCAGCTTACACTTTGATCTGTGGCACATGAAATTATTAATTTTTCTGCAACTTCATCAACTGTGATCTTTATTATTTTTTACAATCATTTTCAAATTTAAACATAAAAGAATGTCTCGTTATAATCTCCATTTAAGAAGCTATAATAAGCTATAAAACTTGTAAACACTACACACATTTATGGACATCAGGCAAGATCTTGCTTACAAATGTCAGCATCAGAAGCAGCTCCTGCCCCATTAGAGTTCATGATAGAGAAAGGTAAAATTATCAAAACCAGATAATTATGTACAATTACATTTAACAAGGGAGATATGAAGATCTGCATTAGTTTGGAATGTCAGAGGAGGCTCAGTTTGGGAATGATATTTAATTGAGATGAGATTAAAGAGCAGCTGCTAATAGGTGGAATTTGAGGTAGAGTGGGTGTGGAGGGAGTTCCAGGAGATGAGTGTCAAAATGCAAATTTCATCATGTTACTTTGGCCTCCTATGCAGGTGGACTGGCTTGATAACTCCAAAAATTACATTCCCCAATACTCAAAACAAAAGATAACAAAAACAGCAAATATCCCACTTCACTACAAAACACTAAGTGATCACAAGTCTAAAACTAATATATGTTAAATGTTGTTCTGCATTAAGAAAGCCAAAAAAAACCCCACAATAAACAAACAAACAAAAAAACACCTCAAAAGGGCAGGAAAATAAAAACTCAATGAGCACTGAAGAAAGAATAGGGGTGAATATGAATGGTGTGGGTGGATATCAATGCTAGGGTTGTTTTGGCTCAAACACCAGTACCAAGTAGGTTGTATAGCTGTGTTCAATAGAGTAAGAGAATGGATTGTTTGGCCACAGGCCCACTGAGGTGGGCTGCTGAGCCTGAGAGACCAGCATACAGTGAAACTCTTGAATGGGTTGTACTCTCAGTCAAAGGATGGGCTCAATATTCTTGCAAAGGGGAACCAACAAGGAAATCTGTCCGTTTCTACAACATCAACAAACTGATTAAAAAGGAGTATTTCCTGGAAATGTGTACCACAGGCCTGATTTCATGAAGTTAGGCACTCTCTGTGCAATCAAGGAACCTCCAAGGTAAAAAAAAAAAAAAGAAGTAGCTTCATTGGTCACTCCTAACCAAAGCTAATCAAGAGCAAATCTCCTTTGGGATATGGTCTCTCAAATCAGGCCTTTAGAATTCCCACAATTAATGCCAAGTATATATGCTTACTATGTAAAAATGCTGTTTGCATAAGAGATCTCATTACCAGGGCAAAAAACATCAGTAGAAACAATGTAGATTTAAACATCTAAAAAATTCAGTACTAGAATGGTATGAATATACAATAAATAACTATAAAAAGTATAAAGGGGGCAAGTGGAGAATCAAAGCCAAGAAAGGAATGAAATGTTTGGAAATTACCAAGTAGATTTCAAAAAAGATCAAATCGGATTTTCAGAAATAAATAATTTAGCAATTGAAATTAACAAGAAATAGGTAGGTGAAAAAGTGGTTGTCACAGTTGAAAAGAGAATTGAGTAAACAGAGTAAGTTTTGGCAAATTATGGCAGCCATTGGCTTTTCGTAATAAATCCTATTGGGAGAAGCCATACTTACTCATTGTTATTTCCAGCATACCAAGATTTCCCTATAACATACTCTTTTTTATGCTTTTTGTAAAAGATCTATTTATTTCATTAGAAGGCAGAGTTAAGAAAGAGAGAGGGAGAGGGAGAGGGAGAGGGAGAGGGAGAGGGAGAGGGGGAGGGAGGGAGGGAGGAAGATTTTCCATTCATCCACTTGCTTACTCCCCAGATGGCTGCAATGGCCAGAACTCGGACAGGCCAAACCCAGGAGCCAGGAACTTCATCCAGATCTCCCACATGGGTACAGGGGTCCAAGTACTTGGACCATCTTCTGCTGCTTGCCAAGGAGCATCAGCAGAGAGCTGGATTGGAACTGGAGCAGCCAGGACTGAGGAGCTGAACCGGCTCCCATTTGGGATCATGGTGTTGCAGGTGGCAGCTTAACCCACTATGGCACAGTGTTGGCCCCTTATTTTTTCTGAAGGCATAATAACATCGTTTCAATATTAAACTTGCAGTTGGGCAGGTATTTATGTTTTTGCTAGAAAAGTTAGATTGCTGGTAAAGGCAGATTTCGGACAGTTCTATTGTTTCTCATCAAAGAAAAATTATCCCTCATGTACACTTAAATGACATTCACTATTACCACCCTTCTGCCTTTGTGCATTTATCATACAGGGCTTCTGTCATGTCAGCCAAGTTACATAAGGATGACCCTGCTTCTGTAATTAGATCTGCATCTGGTTGCCCACCTGTTCTAAGAGTGTGTCCCTCGATTTATGGTTTGTGTGGCATTTATATTTAATTTCTTTAAGGCGTATATCCAAGACTCAAATTAAGTGGTAGTGAAAATTTATGATGATCCCGCCTGTTGCAATATCCATGATTTTACTAAAGAAATAGCATTTCTAAAATCAGAGGCAGAGGTTGAGGCACAGTGTCTTAAGTGACAAGCAAGGGAAAATGTTAGCATTGTGAAGCCAGAAGGAGAGTGATGGGATGATTTTGACTGATGTCCACGAAGGTTGCCTGCTGCTCTGTGATATGAGCTGGAATCCACAGAAAATAGGGATTACTTTATTTATAATCTCTAACATGTGCGACACTTGGACCCCGCACTTGAAAGTGAGTACATCCAAGCTGGCCTTTGTCAGGCACGTAGCAGCTGTAAGACGGCCCCAACAAATCGTATAGAAGAGTCGGTGAACGCTCTGCGTCTTACTGTGGATTAGGACACAAAAGCCATTCTGTGCAGCCGCTTTAGTTTCTCTACCCTCAGCCTGACTTATAAAACCAAGACGTATAACCACACATATCAACCTAGAACTTTGCCCTGCAATGCATTGTCTTTGAAAGTCTCTTTTCTCCTTCCTGTCAGTCCCAGCCGGTACTATGGCTGCTTGAGAGGCTGTTATTCATGGATGTGTGTGGCTGTCATCCTGCATGAGTGTGTCTGTTGCTGTCCTTGACTCACTTTTTCTTTTTTCCTTTCTTTTCCTCTTTCTTTTGCAGTCTCGGTACCAGCCAGACCTTTTCTGTTTAACTCTATTATTTTATTTCTGAAACATCCAGAGTGCTATTAAGAGGAGATGTATGTGTACAGAAAGAACACACCTAGACAGCTCAACATCGGGTACTAAGATGTGCTCCCTGGCAGATTTCAAACCCAGACAGCACGGTTGGCCTTCACTTCAGCCAATCACAAAAGGTAGGCTTTCATTCCCTTTGAAATTTTGACAGAGGCAGTGTAGGTTATGCGCGAGCAAGCCATCTGAATGTGTGTCTTCACGGATGTAAAACATGAAAATAAAAAACAATGCTGTAGCAAACTCAGACTTAATAGTGAAAATATTTTAAACAAAAGTCTATATAAATATCGGATGTTACAGACATGTATAAGATGAGCACAATTTCACAAACAGAGGTTGCTAAAACATGAAGTGTATTAGCAAAGAAATTAAGAGTATATATTACATATGCATTGCTACATTTCTCCTTAGCATCAGGTATTACAGCACTAACTACCTATTTTTCACTTCTCACATTTTACATCTGCATGGGCTGTGTGGCAAAAGGAACTATTCTAGAATAACAACAGTAAACAACACTGATAAGGTATTTTATAATTATCCAGTACTTTCTCATTATTGTCTTCCCCTTGTAAAGATGAGAACTATGAATTTCAGAAAGGTTAAATGATTTGTTTCACATGGGTCAGCTTGCAAATTTCAGACCCAGCATTCCAGCGGAGCTCTTTTTCCATTTTTAATTTCATTGTGGCACGATGACATTGCTAAGTGATACTTTTAGACCATAGATGCAACAGGAAACATTCTAAGTCTCTGCTTATCTTAGACAATTTCTACTCTAAACTGAGTTCCAAATTTCCCTAGAATCTACACTTTTTCCTTCTTTCTTAAGCTTCATGACATCTAAATGTTGATTCACAGACTGACTCAATTTTTCTATTCTAAACCATTGCCAGAGATACCTGCATATGGGCATATTTTAATCTTTCAGAAAATCGATTTAATGTGTAGCATTAGGATAATAAGTACATAGATATATAAATATGCCTTAAGTTACACATCATGAAGTATAATTATAAAGAAAACAATAGTTTTACAGAATAAAGGTAACTATAGCAACCTATAAATTCAAATCAGATTGCCAGGAGCTCCTAGTTGTCCCAGTAACTTTCCATTAAAATGTGGCCCAAACATATCAATCTTGAGGGTGAATCAGCTGAATTTCCCACATAAGGTTATTAATTTCTCAATTTATTTTTACTTTTCTGTGTGCACAACTAGGAAAACTTGACTCCACAATATTCTGTGAGTTTACCTGTTTCACTGCCTCTTAGATTTCAGAGTGCTGCCTAACACTGGAGTGACTCTCTTTTGACATCCATTAGTTAGGAGAAATTAAGATAGCTCCTGACACTGGCTATCAAAGATGAGCCACCCTAACAGGCCCTTTTACCTCCATAATTGCCAAGCATTGAGTGTATAGTTTGGGATAATGGGAAAATGACAACATTTGGTAATATCTTATTTTCTAAGTAAGGCTGGCTTCACAATGAGGTTAAAACCTGAATAAATTCTTAGGATTAGTCTTATGGCGGGCTGAGAAATGGCAGCAATGGGGATTTGAACAAGAATTTGTTTTGTACCAACATAAGCCAAGATGCCACGTTAAGGAATGTGGAAGACAACAGGTGAATAAGAACTAGCTTTTGCTTTCAAAATGCCATCTAGCAGAACATCAGCATAGGAGTGTGTTTGTGTCTGTGTGTGTGTTTGTGTCTGTGTGTGTGTTTGTCGAGAGGGAGGGGGGAGGGGGAGGGGAGGGGAGAGATCCATGACAAAGGCCATGACTACCAGTAAGAGGTTTTAAGCCTTTGGATGTGTTAACAGAAGTCCTCTTAGAATAGTTTTGGTATCTGTCTGAAAAAGGACAAAAAAAACTGGGGAGAAGAGAAACAATGTATGGAATAAACAGGTTGTCTGAGTTGAGATTATATGGAGATAACCTGGGTAGACACAACAGGATGATAATGTAAAATGCTGACACCAGGGTTGTGGTGTAGGGGGTAAAACCTCTGCCATGCTGGCATCCTGTATGGGCGCAGGTTCAATTTCTGGCTGCTCCACTTCTGATCTAGCTCCCTGCTAATGGCCTGGGAAAAGCAGTGGAAGATGGCCCAAGTGTTTGGGTCCCTGCTACCTATGTGGGAAACTCAGATGAAGTGCCTGGCTCTTGTTTCAGACTGTCCTATCCCTGGCTTTTGTGACCATGTGAGGAGTGAACCAGTGGCTGGAAGATTCTCTGTCTCTCTCCCTCTCTCTGTAACTCTGCTTTTCTTTCTTTCTTTATTTATTTTTTTATTTTAGATAGGCAGAGTGGACAGTGAGAGAGAGAGAGAGAGAGAGACAGAGAGAAAGGTCTTCCTTTTGCCGTTGGTTCACCCTCTAATGGCCGCTGCGGCCGGTGCATTGTGCTGATCTGAAGCCAGGAGCCACGTGCCTCTCCTGGTCTCCCATGGGGTGCAGGGCCCACGCACTTGGGCCATCCTCCACTGCACTCCAGGCCATAGCAGAGAGCTGGCCTGGAAGAGGGGCAACCGGGACAGAATCCGGCGCCCCGACCGGGACTAGAACCTGGTGTGCCGGCGCCGCAAGGTGGAGGATTAGCCTATTGAGCCATGGTGCTGGCAACTCTGCTTTTCAAATAAAGAAATAAATCTTTAAAAAATGCTGACACCAAAGCTTGGAATTTATTTTTAATTTAATAATAAAATGACAATCACTAAATTTTTTAAGAAAGATTTATTTGAAAGGCAGAGTGATAGAGCTGGGGAGAAAAGGAGAGTGAAGAGACAGAACAAGAGTTCTCTACCTGCTGGTTCACTCCCTATATGGCTACAACAGCCAGGTCTGTGGCAGGCTGAAGCCATCCTGGTCTCTCACTGGGTAATAGGAGTCCCAGAGCTTGCATCATCTTCTGCAGCCTTCACAGGTGCATTACAGGAAACCGGATTGAAAGCACAGCAGCCAGGACTCAAACTGTCAGTCCCTTAGGGGATATAGGTGATAGGCAGTGGCTTAACTCACCACACCACAATGCCAACTCTATAATGAAGTTTTTTTTTTGTAGAGGAGTATTGTAAAAATTACTCTGTAATTTTGAGGGTGATAGATTACAAAATGTAGTAGGGAGATAAGACATATACATAAGAAAAAACGAAGGTCACAACTAGGGTATATATAATGTAGCAGAAAAGACAGAAAGTAATTGAGGGATATTACAAGATAGAATATTGACTTTAGTATCAAAGGGTCCAGGACAAAAAAGAGGAAAGAAAAATTAATGGGCTAACAATGGAATACATATTAACACAAATAATGAAGTATTTCACTTATTTGTCAAATATTTATTAAACACTTACTTCATACCATAAAGTTACTTTTTGCCAACTATTTTTCTGGGGACTCCAAGTGGTACAGGAGCTATTTCCATAGGATGATAGATGTAGTGTTACACATGGAGAGTTGAAAGCATCAGCAGAACCCTGAAGCCATTGATTGTCAACACAGATATATAGCTTAGACTAGTAACTTGGTCGGAATTATTAGTATATGTAGAGGTCATTGTTGAAGCAGGAGGAGGAGGTGAGATCAGAAAAGTAGAAAAATTCTCATAAAGAAGAGATTAGGATTCAGAATAGATGTGAGAAACACTACACAGTACTGAGGTATCTGGAAGAAAAAGAGGAAGGTATGAAGATGGGAGGGGAAAGGAAGGGTGGAAAGAAGAATGAGAGGGGGCGTGGAGAGAGAAGCCTGGAAGAGAGAGGCAACTGGATTAGGTCATCAGGCAATCCACTGCCGGAATCCTCATTAGCAAGTGAGAAGCTAGAAACCTGATGAAGGGCTTGGTGACAGAAGGGTGGCTGGGAAGACACAGAGAACAGCAGCTTGACAGACAAGGACATTGAAGACAACACAAGTTGTTAGTTATCTTCACTTTGGACACTCATGTGCCAGGCACAGTTCTAAGTGCACTAAATAGTTCATTTAATACCACCACAATTCCTGACGTTTGAGACTGATATTACTGTTATGTATTTCTTGTAGATGGGGAAGCTGAGACACACATGGATTATGAAATCTATCCAACGTCCCACAGTTAAGAAATACTGATTTGAACCCAGACAGTGCGACTTTTGAAACCCTTGACTGCTGTGTTATATCTAGGTTTGTGGGAAGAATGAAAATGAAGGAGGGAGGGAGGGAGGGAGAGAGAGAGAGAGAGAGAGAGAGAGAAAGAAAGAAAGAAAGATGGGATAGTGTCTAAAGCAAGTTCAAAAGGGGATGTAGGAGGAGCCCTAGCAAAAGCATTCTGGAAAAAAGGTCAAGAGAAGAGAAGGAGAGTGACATGGACGGACGCTACATAGTTGGGAGTGCTTACATTAGGTGACTTTTTTTTTTTTTTTTTTTTGCCATTTTGGTAAGGCAAAAGGTATGTTCAGTGATTCAGAATGATGAAAGGTGATATTGTTCCAAAAACGTCAAGTGGGGAACGAGCTGGGAGGAGACTTCACATCTACCACATCATTTATCTTGCTTTGTCAATGCAGGTTTCTCTCACAGAGGACAAGTAAAGGTCCTCAGCTAGGCACACGCTTATCAACAAATGCTACCCAGGCACATGTATGCATTGCAATAGGAATCCTCTGGACACTTAAGCTGCACAGATCATAGTACTAGGTAGCACATAAGAGCTAAAAGGCAACTTCTACTCTCGTTGATGTTTTTTCTTTCTCTCTTTCAAGTGGCTTCACCAGCAAAAAGAAACAGAAAGCACAGTCCACCTCAATCAACAACATATTGATGCACATTTTTCCTTTGTGAGGTTTTTTTTCCTTGTAAGAAGTGTTTGCTATTTAAAACCCGTTACTAGGTGATAATGGCAAAGCACATTTTTCCCTGTCTTCCAAAGTCAACCCTATACATTTCACTGTGAATTTGCAAGTGAAAATACCTGTTGCCGTGCACATGAGAGGCACAGAATGCAAAGCTGTAATGGAGCAGGGTTGGGTCAATGACAGCACCGTTTTCTGAATGTTCCATCAGTTCTGTCAGGTAGCAGAGATGTCTGTGACAGCCTCTCACTCCATAACGGGCACAGTACTCATCTAACACAAAGACTTGGCCAGGGCTAAACCAACCCTGCAAAAGAAAAACAAACATTTTTTTTTCTTTGTGTACTAAGATTTGCTTTTCTGTTGCATGTTTAGGCATTATTAGCAGAAGTTGCATGAAAGTATATTTTGACATTAATTTTATTAGTGATATGTTTCAGGGTGTTTTCAGAAGAGCTAGTGCCATCAAGTTGGGAACTGATTTAGGTTCGAATCCTATTCTCTTTATTACCACAACCAGGCTAGGGCAATTTTTCGTTGTCATTCAAAATCAGCTGAATTTAATTATAATACCTAAGCTGTTAGTTATAAAACATGATATTCCAAAAAATTCAACTGCTTTATAGATGAATTAAAAAGAGAATAGTAAAGGAGACACTATGATTGAAAATGCTGATTTATTGTAAGCTTTTTTCTAAAGTGAGCTAAAATTAAAGTTCAGCAAATCTAACAGTGCTTTACATGTACTATTTTAAAAGATTTATTTACTTATTCAAAAAGCAAAGTGACAGAGAAAGAGAGATCAATCTTCATCCACTGGTTCACTCTCCAAATGGCTGCAACAGCTAAGATTGGGCCATATTGAAGCCAGGAATCAGGAACTCCATCTGGGACTATTGCATGGATGGCAGGAATCCAAGTACTTGAGCCATCAAGCCACTGCTTTGCAAGTATATTAGCAGGGAGCTGAATTGGAAATGGAGTAGCTGGGACTCAAACTGGAGCTTAGATACAGGGTATTTTTGGCTTAACCCACTGTCTGTCTCTGTGTACTATTTGGGTACTTAAATATCTGGGATTTTTTTCATTCTGTTTATCTTCTTATGACTAATAAACAGATCACTGTTTCACAGCAATGATTTCTGGTCTTCCTGAAATGATGTTGGAATGTTTGTGTGTCCATGCATGTCAACTGAGACAGCAGACAGCCTCTGCCTAGCTCTTTAGATTGGGTAGAGTTGATTTATAACATAGCTCAATGTTCATGAAAATGTATTGATTGACTTAAGATTTTAAAAGAAAGAAGGGGGAATGGTGAGTTTTATAAGGAGGCAGCGTGGTAGCTGTTTGGCCTAGCAGTTAAGACTCTAGTTATGACGCCTTATCCCATATAAGAGTAGCCAGGTTTGATAACTGGCTCTGGTTCCTGATCCCAAGTTCCTGCCAATGCAGATCCTGGGAAGCAGCAGTGGTTACTCATGTCAGGGGGCGCCTGACACCCACACAGGAGGCTTGGATGGTTCCTGACTCCCAGCTGTGGTAGGCAACTGCGGAGTGAACCTGTCTACCTGGGTGTCTCTGATTCTCAATTACATTGTTTTCCACTAAAAATCATTAAGAAGAGGCAGAATAATCAAGAAAGAGGAGGAAAAAGAGGTGAGTGAGGGAGAAAGGTGCAAAGGAAATAAAAGAGGCAGGAGGGGAAGATCCTCAGCGCACTTACTGTGGTGACAGTCTAGGGACTGTGCTACACATAATGCATATATCATCTTTTTAATCCTTAAAACCATTGCACATGGTACTTGTTAGTTTACCGTATGTCTGACAGATAAGCTGTCAAGAGCTGTTAAATGAGCTGTCTAAGACCACAGCGCAAATGAGTTGCTGAACTGTGGTGTTTATGTGGGGGACCATCTTGTCTCACCAAGCTCTTTCTAATCACATCACACTCACTCTCCTCTAGGGGCAGCATGTCCCTCAGACTCCACATTACACATGAACTCATAAACAGAACTGAACAATTTTTGATGACTCAGTAAATAATCCCTTATGGTAGAATTCAAGAGGAACCTGGCCCTTTATGATGTTTGCTTTGTGTGCTTGTCTGTGGGAATCTGTCACAGTTTTGTGATTTGTTTTACTCTATGCAACTCTAAAGTTCAAATTGGATCAAGTTTGAACCAGACCAATAGATACAGAGTAAAAACTTCTTCATAGGAAATGCACAAATGAACCACCAGTGTAATCATTGTAGCAAGTGGGTTCATTTGGTCCTACTGAAATATCTCCAATGAGGGGAGCTTATCCTGTCCAAAACGTTATTTTAAAGAGACTTTAACTTTTTTTTTGCATTCAGTTACTATGTTCAGTGTCTGAGAGACTCAAGTAATATCAGAAACAGGCATCTGCCCGCCTGAGGAATTGCCACTGACAATATAAATGTTTGGAAGGACACATGTGACTCTCAGGCTGTTTGATTTCCACATTCTAAGGTATAGAGCATTTCTTCTAAATACAAATGAAGCGATTCATCCCAGATTTTGGCCACAGTCTCAACACATATCAGGTTGTAGTTTAGCTACTCGACAATCACCTTTCCTCATTTTAAAGGCATTCAAATTATCTTTGGAGGACACAGTGAAACTGAAGCTTCCCTCTGTTAAGCAGAGTTCTCAACAGATTGTTTATCATGACATCGTCCCCATGTATTACACAGGTTGTTCTTGTAGAAATCAAAGAGAAAAAACGCAAGACATCAACATCTGGTGAGCAGAAATGAAAGCTCAAAATGTCTATATCGCTGTTAGCAAATCCTGTAACAGAGATTTTTTTTCATCTTTATTTAAAGCCTTCTGTTTCCTCTTGGCCTTCTTCAGAGGGACTGATGAAACACAGTCCAGCATCCATTTAAGTCTGTTCTCCTGTCTATTGAGTGGCACAGCAGTGGTCGTCAAGTGTATAATTTTCAAATTGGGAAGCAATCGATTGAAATCCTTTATCCCTAACTCCAACTACAGTTATTAAATGGGTCAGGAATAAAACACTGGTTTATAACAGGTATTTTACACGGTCTAAAATCTTCTATTCTCATCCACAGGGGACTAGATGGATAGAATTGTACTCACCAAGCAAGAATAGGAATCATTCAGTCTGTGATCCAAAGTCTGCCTCTGGAGTATTCTAAAAAGGAAGGCGTGGTCAAGCTTGCAAGGATTTGCTGAAATAAACTCATCCATGCCATGTTTCTGAAAACGGTCTGCATCTGCAAATCCCACAAAGCACAGATGGCAGATTTATTTGTTGGCTTAATAATGGACAAATACAGTTTTTGAACAACACAAAAATTCATGCCCCATGATAACACATGACCATCTCTTATCACATATGCTATAAGAATTAGTCATATTAACATAAATTCCAAGTTTTTGAAAACTAAGTAAAAATGAAAATTCACAAATCATTGGCATGAAGAAATTCTATTTTCACTCAAAGCTATAGTTGTATTCATCAGAAGAGTAATCTTATTTTCAAAATTTAAGAGAAGTTGATGTATTTTAAGAATCTATTTATTGAAGGAATTTGACTGGGAAAGAACCCAGATCTATTCATAAAAAACAGCAATGATGGCCTGAAGTCTGGTTTCCAAATGGCAAACTAGGGCAGAAATGAACACACAAGCTTCAGTTGGATCACTTCCAGTCTTCTTTTTGTATGGAGCTTTTAATGGGACCAACCTTAATGTGAAAATGGCATTGAACGCTGTCAAGCTTCAAGTTTGAGGGACATAAAAAAGGGAGCACCATGTTTGTGCAAATATGTAGACAAAGCATAACGTTCCAAATGGCCCTTCACTCAGAAGCCCAAATTTATTGTTCTTTACAGATTGCATCTTTCAACGCCTGTAGACCCTGCGGGTTTATCAAAAGGCAAGCTTTTATGATTGCTTTCATTAATGGTATGTTTTGTCAAAGTCTTCAATGTGAATTATTTACTAAGTATAGAAAGAAAAAGCCACATAGTCCCCCAAAGGAGTGCTGGGGTGTTACTACATTAGCTCTGTTTGAAACACAGCTTGTACTGGGCAGGCAATCAGTTACTAAGATAAAAGTGGGCTCTTCTCACAATGGTAGAACTGAAGCTCCATTGTTACTTAACGTTCATAGATAGATCTCTTTCTGGTCATTGCAAGAAAGGCAGAGTCGTAAATGTAAGCTAAGTGTAGTTTCTGAAACATACATGGTGCATTCCTAAAACTCTAAAGGAAAAGAGACAAAAGTTTATTGATTAAACCGAATTATAGAGTCAGGCTCATAATAAAACTCAATATTGATCTGTGGACATGATGCTAACATAATCAGTCACATTTAGATATTTAGCCCAGATCATATTGATCCATGTCAAGTTCAACTTTCAGCCATATTTGTGGATGGAAGAAATATATAATTCAAGCTGAAGGGTCCACAGAATCACATTTGAAAAAAAAGATACACAAACTGATGAATATCTTACATCAATGACAGATATCAGAAGGTAAATGTAGCAAGTAAGCAATGCATAGCAGCTTATTGATGAATGGAAGGCACAAAATTACAATCATGGAGAAAGTAGCACATATATTCCTTTATATTTAATAATTACTTCCTAGAATGACAAAATATATTGCATGCAATAAATTAGTATTAATTGGATGAAAATAAGCTGTTTTTCCTGAACTGAAAAATAAGATAATCCAACCTTTTATTTTATTTTATTGGCTGAGATTCTTAATACAAAGCTAACTGTAAAACAATGTGAAAAGTATCAAATGAGTAGGAGTCAGAATATTGAAAAGGCAAAGTATATGTATTATAAAATTGGAAGACAGTTTTGTGTTTTAAGGAATTTATCTTAGAATCTTCATTTCTGTTAGAAAATTCAGTATCACCTTTATGACATAATTATTAGTTTTATAAAACATCTTCTGAATTTTATTCATTATTTCTCTCACCAGAGAAGGTCATAACAAGCAGTTAAAAGTAACACTGACAATGGCTTAACTATTGAAAACAGAATATGTAATAAATTTCGGAGAAAAAAATTCATAATTCCTTCTTCTTTTCTTTTTTAACCTAGAAACCTTTTATTTAAGGCATACATACTTCATGCATTTTGTATATACAAATTTAGGAACACGGTGATTTAATTATTTCTTTTAAAACAATCAGTATATAGCCTTAAATATACTGTACAAGTTTGTGAAAGGAAGCATGTAGCTGATTTTTATAAAGATGATAATTTTTATGAACTTATAACATTTTATCCTTATGAAATACACTTCAACCCATGTATTTACTGACATGACAAGTCTTTCCAAATCATGCACCAAAATGGAAAGTTACTACTATAACTAATTATCATTACTATTCTAACTAATTATCATTAGTGACAAAAATGATAGTCAAGATTGCAATTTAAGGCAAATACAGATTCTCCATTGACACTGATAAGAGACAAGCAAACAAATGCACAAAATATTTTGTTAAAAGAAAAACCCAGACACCTGAAGTTGCTAGAGGTCAATAATTTCACACAATGAAATGTGTTCTTAGGGATTATTCCACATTCAAAAAAGGCTGGGAAGACTTCTCTGCTCTTTTTCCTCACCAGACATGAACCTTTGAAAATGTTTTATGCAGAAATTCTTTGCCATGTACCAGTATATCATTAGCTTCCACGAATTTATGAAGACATAAAAATAAGCTGAACAGGCAGAAGTTCTGATCTGCTTATGTGAAAAGTCTTTTGGGGATCTGTTTTCACAGACCTTTACTTAAAAAAAAGGCAGAGTTGATTTTAATTTGCTGGTCTTGTATTCAACAAAAACAAAACCAATGTATAACAGTGCAGACAACACACTGAAAGTAAAATGCATGGTAACAGGAACACAAAATCTAGGAGGGGAAAAATGTATACTATTGAAAATCTTTTTTTAAAGATAAATTTTATTGTGTGTATTTTACAACATGTTGTGGGAAAAGGACAATGAAATGGTTATTAAAGTGAGACAAATTAATCTAGCACTTCACACAAATTTTAAGGATAAATATAGCCCAAATCTACTTATTGAATAAAACTTGCTAACAATTTTATTGCCTGGTCCTCTTGTTTTAAATTAGATCTTCAGATGGGCTGGTCCTGAACATCTGCCACTTAGTATCCTTTGGCCTACATCTCACTATTTCTTTTCTCCACTCTTATAAACTAAAGTAAAATAGGAAATCAGTTGTTAAAATATTACCTAGCTTTGTATTTTTATAAAATAATATTTTCACACGGTTTTCTCTTAGTGTAACCCATTTACATCTTACTCTTCAAAGACACATAGGCATCATCTGGATCAAATGCAAAAGATGCTTCCAAGGGTCGGTGTCCTGGCACAGCAGATTAAGCCACTGCCTGAAATGCTGGCATCCCATATGGGCACCAGTTCGTGTCCTGGCTGCTCTGCTTCTGATCCAGCTCCCTGTTAATGTGCTTGGGAAAGCAGCAGAAGATAGCCCAAGTGCTTGGGCCCCTGCTACCCATGTGGGAGATCTTGAAGGAATTCCTGGCTTCTGCCTTTGGCCCAGCCTAGCCCCAGCTATTGTGGCCAACTGGGGAGTAAGCCAGTGGATAGAAGATCTCTGTCTCTCCCTCTCTCTGTAACTGTGTTTTTCAAATGAAATAATCAAATAATTTTTATAAAAGATGATTCCAATCAGTGGCAACAGAATCAAATCTCTGGCATTAAACCTGGTGTGACTAGATAACCTTCAATTAATGTTTAATATAATACAAAATTATAGTGATTAATTTTTAATGAAAAACAGTTCACGATGTTATTCAAAGACTTATTTATTTATTTGAAAGAGTTACAGAGAGAGAAACAGAGAGACAGAGAGAGGAGAGAGATCTTCCATAATACCCAAATGGTTATAATGACCAGAGTTGGGCCATTCCAAAGCCAGAAGCCAGGAGCTTCATCTGGGTCTCCCACGTGGGTGCAGGGGCCCAAACACGTTAGCAGGGAGCAGGATCAGAAGTGGAACAGCTGGGACTCGAACCAGTGCCCATATGGAATACTGGCACTGCAGACGGTGGCTCAATCCACTGCACCACATGCCAGCACCAAATGTTCTCTGGTAATGGCAAGTTTCAGTTCAGTTGGTCTTTTAAAACAATATAAGAAAATTATCAAAACTAACCAACAAGACAGGAGCTTAAACAATGTAATGCAAAATGTCACAGATTGTGATGATCAACCTAGGTACTAAGTATAGAGGTGGGATGTGGTCACTGACGAGCTTGGTGGAGTTTCTATGGTAATGGTGGGATCATATGCTCCATGTCTTCAGGTAGTACTACCACTGTGCTAACAGTGGATGGAAAAAAACCTACATTGAGAAAGATTACTTCTTGTTGTAAACTTAAGTAATAGTTTCATTTATAGAAGTTTTATTCAAGTGAAACCTTTTTGGAATTCAAGAGAAAAGAATAAATAGGCTATTAATTTAAACAGTTAACACTGACTTGAAAACAGGCAGCACAGAAAACAGTGTGAGGACTATGGGCCAGATGGTCAGCCCACCAGGGTGGTAGAGGCAATTTGGTGGCCACTGACCACAACCAATGCTATGAGCTGCACATCCAAACCCAATCCTGGCAAGGCATGAGAGTTCAGAATGTGAGATTAAAACAAAATCCTAACTGAAATATTTCTCCTTCCTTTGCTACAAAATCTAATGAGGTTGCAATTTTTGGCTGCTGCTCACTGGGAGACATCACCTATGTGAAAGAGAAAAGCCAAGACCCAGGATATAGGCACACTGGAGAAATGAGGTCATTTAATGTAGAAACTGGGACTCAAGCATCACAAAGACTAACAAGATGGTGCCACTTGTTAGTGGTGCCAGGAGCTGGTCTTCTCTGCATAACACTGAGCCGAACTAAGCTGCAAATGACCCCTTTGAAACACAGTAAAATAGATCATTTTACATTGAAAACTGTCCTACTTTTAAGGCCATGCCTGTTGCTGCATTATCTACTAATCATACCTGACTACACATTTTTCTCACAGAGCTTGAACATTAAAGGAAGTTAAATGTGGCAGAGGTGTAGGTACCACTTCACTCTACAAAACACACATGTAATCTTAAAGGCGAATCTTTTCATGTTTTAAAATTTCACATAGATCAGTCTGGTCAGTAGGTT